AAGTTTTTCAAAAAATGAATAAATTAATAGTGTGGCATGTATGAGAATAATTCATCCTTAACTTAATACAGATTAAACCTTTTTGTTATTGTCATGCACTGATGGAAAGTCAAATGTTTTTCAATAGTTATGAACTTTAAATAATTAAATTTAAAATAAAACTACAGTAATACATGTAATCAACATAAATCATCTAAAATGTCATATTCATTTGCCCATAGCAGTTTTGTGGTTATTTCGAATTATAAAATAAAAATTGTGAATATTTCAAGGTAAAATGTTCACAGTTAGAGAACCTAAAAAAAAAGATTGCACCTTGAACCTGTACCTACCGCCAATTTCTTGTGTCAGGAACATCTCTATTGCTTTTGATATTATCACTAGCAACTTGGTTGAATTTATTTTTGGCATAAGCATCCTGTCCAGGTTGGACCTTTTTCTTATCTACATAATTTTTTTCATCAAAATATTGCCACGATAGCCGTGTGTCAAGAGAAGGGTCTTCATTTGTCAGGTCCTTCCCCCGTGTCTTTTTGATTTCTTCAATTGCCTCTTCTTTCAATTTCAAGGCTTTATTTTCTTCCTGGAAAGAGAAAATGGAATGGTGTGACAATATTGATCACTGTCAGTACATTATTGACAATTTATTGACAAGCCAATGTCCATGTCAGTGCAACAATTCCAGGCTGTTTTCTAAAACAATATCAAGTCATGAACTCATGTGACAAAATCATTCCCTCAGTAATTCTCTCATTTCACTCTCTCTGAGCTCAGTTTGGCATTTTGCTCAGTTTGGTTGAGACTTGCCAGCCCAATACCCACAGCTTCATAATAACGAGGCCAGAAGAGCAATTGTGTTGAAATTTGTGCGTTAACCTCTGACACATACATAATTTCAGCAATAAGTAATCTTTCTGAAAGTATTTTTTTAATCTCAAGATAATAGTTGTTCAAATTAAGGGGAAACAGGTACAATTCTTATATACATATAGTATATATACAACTCTAATACCAATGGGTTAATTTGTATCTGGAAATATTCGGGTTTGCGATATCTTGGCAGAGCCTGCAATATCTAGATTTCAACATTTCCTTTTACCTGCATTATTTTCAACTTTCACCCTGTCTGCATACTATTTCAGCAACGAGTTTTTATCCTAGATTTTTCCATCATATTCTAGATAACAAGTTGATGGACACTGACAAAAATGATTTTTTTTAATCCATAAAATAAGCCATATTGTGTTTTAGCCAAACTGTGTGCTGCTTCAGTGCACTGAGCTTGTTGTAAGCCCAGCCAAGTTAATAAGATTCTTCAAACTGAAAATAATCATGCAGGAAATAATGACTGTCTTTGCAAACTACCACAAGGGCAATCCTCAGATAATTGGAAAATTAGATTATATCTTATTAAGAACAGATGGATTAGCCTATTATTCATACAGTACCATGAAACTTTTAAGCATTGAAAATATGTTTCAGAGAGATTCAGCAGAGAATTCAAGGTTTGATTTTCGATCTACTTCTACCTAGTTAACACAATAAGAACATCCATCTCTATAAAAGGGATGGTTTTTCTTCTGCTACCATAAAAATATGGAGTAAGATAAAAGAGGTGCAACTTGTCATTTCAAACATTAAACAGTTTCAAAATCACATTTGATGACCTCTGTGATAAAAGCAGCTTGTTGGTATGAAATCAATCAAGTAAAACTTCAGAAAAAAGGGGAAAAAATTGAAAAATACACCAAATTTTCTCCAAATAGCAGGTCTGGCAATAGCCCCTTTCACAGCATTTTATCTCAATTTCATAATTCGCCCATGCTAACCAAATCAGAGATAAAACAGGTGATTAAACACACTTTTACCTGTGAAAGTTAAAAGAAGTCGAGCCAAACTTTCTACACACATCTGAAGCAGGTCAGATATGTTTAAACAGATATCTACCCCCTGTGCACAGTGAACAAAGTATGCTGCTGTTCAATCAATACTACCCCGTGTAACTTATCTTAGTGGCTCAGTACTACATCCAAGTGCTAGTACTTGCAGTGCTGAAGAACCAAGTTTTCCCAGAACACCTCCACCTTCAGGGTGATCAATACACACTGGGAATACATGCAGGCTTTTTCCTATTGCACTCCCACAATCACACACTACAAACAGGGCATCACCATAAAAGCAATTTCAATTCTCGTAAGTGCTCAGCTGTTTACAAATTTGAATGCCATATTCAGTACAAATTTATTCAAGGATACATGAAATGTGATATCAAAGCTTAAACTAGATCAGGATTTCCTTTAGTGCTACTTTTGAGAGTTTTTGATGTGCTCTTAAAAAAATGACCTCTTTTCTACCACAGTGAGTAATGACTAAGCAACGAAAACCATTCCCTTTCCTTTTTTCTTTCTATTTTTTAAAATCATTTCTAGAATAAGATCAATGCTTCATCTCCAAGTTCCAAAATTAATGAAAAACCTTTATGGTATGCTGCCTGTAATGCATTATGAGTTTGTTTTGTTATGAAAAAATGATGAAGATGATGCTTTTTAGAATATGGTCAATTATGACTTCCTCAACAATGTATTGAAACCCATCAGACATCACCCAATCAGTATGTGATGATCATCAACCATTTTCACCACCACTTAGTGTGATAGAAGCTAAAAAAAAAAAAGGTAACATTAAAATATGTCACAACTTGGAGCCTTCACAAAAATCCTCACACTCCTTAAAACTGTGACACTAATGTATTCCTTTGTCTTTCAAACAAAAAAATCCGCTCTGAAAAAAATCTGAGATTTGTTCCCTGAAAAGTATTGATTGGTAAAGAGCTCTAAACCGATGTGAAGGCTGACATTTAAGTCCCATTCACATTATGACCAGTTGTACAGATAAATGGAGAATTAGGTCAATAATCAAATTTTTGAGATAGCGTGAGCACAGGCTAACCAAGGATGAACTGAATTTCTGACAGGAAATAACCCCAAGATTTGCTGCATTTTCTTTAAGCATTATGGACTCAAATCTGGCAATGAGAAGCTCTTCAAACTTGCAACAATGAAAAACCATGACTTTCATTTGTATATAAGCTGATTACACAACTCAAGTTTATAAATGGTATATGCACAAAACAGATTAAATACATTGAACACCTGCAAAAGTGGGGGCACAATTGCTCAGCTGAGATAAATGTCTACGTGGCAGTTTCAAAACGGATCGGTTGTTTAGTCAATGCACTTTTTCTCAAGCTTACATATCTCATATACACTCGACCAAAAAAGTTCAGAAAGATGAAACTGTTTTTCAAAAATTAAAAAACTATGTAATGGAGTGGATATGTCTTCAGTGTATATAAAAAAAGTCATAAACAGTAGATACATTTCCATTAATATTTGGTTTATCGTAAATACTTATCTTAGCTCAAATGTTTACTTTCTAATTATTCGAAATAACAATGCTTCCCATTTTATTTTGGTCAAGTGCATAGAGGCTAAGACATTTTTTTTATATCTTCAGGAAAAAATGTTGTTAGATAAAAACACAAAGGAACCTTCTATGAGTAATTGGAGGGATTATTTTGAATTTTTTACAGACCCCCAAAATTCAAAATACATTTATGTGAAATAAATATAACTGAACTCCTGTAACTACATGCAGAAAATACTCAATCTTATTTTTAAATAAAAATTCAAGATTTTAATATGTGACCTTAATATGCAACTCATAAATCTAAAAACACATAAAAAACCACATGAATCATATGCAGACAGCAAAATGTGCATGTGCATACACTATGAGAGAATAATACAAATTCAAACTTCGAAAATATAAGCTACTGGACTGAATTCACACGTATCTCAACAATACATCTTTCCAATCAATATTGCAAGAATCTGAAACATTTTGAAACCACATTATTCTTTGGACTGTAACCAAGGGGAAAAAATCTTTTGAAGATGATTGATTAACCTCAAGATCAAGGACTTATTCATTTGAAAAGGTTATCACAGAAGTGCTTATGTCATAGATTTTATACAGTTAACAAGAAGTTAAAACAATAACATGAAGTATCCTTCATATTGCATTCTGCAAGACAAACTTCACTTATTGGCACTTATATGTACATGGGAAGCCTTAAATAGTTGCTCATATGTTCATGCCACTGTCTCAACAATTATCCAAGGATATATAAAAGTTTTGTTTGTGAACATAAAAACACAAGGTAAACTATGAAATTTATATGAGCCAACCCAAATGTTATTGTAAATGCATCATAATTATTATGACTATTATGAGGACATATCCAAAAGGACATATTCTTTAGGGTCCTCATAGCTAAAATATATCCCTGGTGAACTGCATCTGTCAAAAATAAGACTTGGCAAACTATCATTCACCATGGCTTTCGTGGTACTGTCAGGCACTTTACTCTCAAATGCAAAAGCTCTTTAATGTCTACACAACTTAAGTAAAACAGCAGAGCTGTGTTAAAATAGGTTTTATGTGCCAGTACCCTGTCAGAATGCAGATGCATCATTCATAATGCGTACCCCTAAAACGGGTCATCGAATCTATGACTTTTAAATAGAGTCAATGCCTAGAGCTCATGTTATAGTGCAGTATTAACTTCCTGTGTCAGAAAAGAATACAAAGATTTAATGAGTTTATGTGGAATAAGAGATGATTCAGTGCGAACATAATGTGATATAGAGCACTTAAACACTGAGTGATATATATTTTCAATCAATGAAAATGCATCTAGTAATTAAAAGTTTATTTAGTTTGTATTCTGATTCTATCTTGAAGGACTGATCATTTCATAAATTTAAATAGTTTGCATAGCGTTAACTTACATTCCCTAGTATGAATATTTTTATTCAATAAGACTCATTAGAGAAATTAACTTTTATTCGTTTTAATGTATTTTTATACTCAGAGTGCCAAGGAAATTAATGGCTGTATCACTATTCTAATTGATTTCAATCTGAGCTACACCTGAGGACGACAAATATCTAACGTGGTCGCAATTTATACGTAAAAGAATTCACCTAATGAAGATGAGCTTAAGCCAAGTTAATGTCAGCTGTACATACTAGTACACGTCTTGCCATTGACTAACTACCATAGTCTCTAAAAACTACACTCACCTCGCCTCTGTCGAATACCACTTTAAAGTAAACTATGACCATAAGCCAAATTATCACAAATACTAGGAGGATTTTCGTATTCCGACGCATTTCGGAGGACAAACACGTGCATCTGTGACAAAACACATCTGATCAAACTCTGGCCAACTTTCCAACGTCCTGCCACACTGACGTCGTGACGTCCACGCGCACCATTTATCGCCCTCACTTCATTAGAGAGTTCATCTAGACGAGGTAGTTACACACGCCGGTTAGATTGCATTTGTTGAGCAAAACAATAGATGTGCGGCCATCAGTCACAGCTGTCGCGTTGCAAGACCAACTACTGTTGAAGAGTTTGATACATTAATCTGCCACTGTTCCCAGAGAATTTTCAATGATCATCTTACTAATACTACCTCTTCCAAAAAATTTAAAGCATTCATTTAGTGTTGCCATCCCCCCCCACAAGTTAAAACATTAACATAACGTTATAAGCAAATAGGACTTTCTTGAGCTTTCATTGTTTATTCAGACTAATGGATTTGCATTACAAACAAATATTTCCATGGCACCAGAGTGAAAAATACTTTATTTACAATAAAACATTCTCATACAGTTGATGTCTCAGAGTTATTGCAATATGTTTATTGTAACCTCGAGTTCTTTGCTAAAGCAGAAAATGTTGCACACATCCAATTGCCATTAGCCAAATACCTTACATTTATTCATGAATTATATTATTGAGCAACAACAATAGTTAAGACAGAACAAGAAACAATATAAAGTTAATTTGTATTAAAATTCTATGTACACCTTACTAGTCACTCTTTTATATATCAGTCAGTAGTCATCAAATAAGTTCATGATGCTCTCAACATCAAGTCTTCTTTATTGCCTTCTGCCCTGATCATTCACGAAGTTTAACATCATCTCTACTTAGTATGTCACTTGTCATTTGTATGTAAAACATAAAAAAACTAGCAAAGGAACATGTGATAAAGAGATGAGCCAACTCAGCAAAGAATAACTATACTTATTGTTTTTTCTTCCTTTTTACAAAGTTATTTATACACTTATAAGAACCACATATATACATCCCAGTGGTACTTTTTCAACAAAGTTCTATTTAACAACCAGTAATATCAGTCATTACACACAGGTTCCAACCTTCAAAATTTTTAAACTCCCAAGTTTTTGAACACAAGTGTATCTTTGTAACTGGCGACAGGTCAACATATCAAACCCTAAATAACTTCATACTCCATTGGCAAATAACTTATGAAACCCGTTTTTATCAAAAACATCCAGATATTTCAAAACAGGCAAACCTATTCAAACCCAAGAATGAAAAACCTCTTACTTCTCTTATAGAATAAACTTGTTCCGCTGTAGTAACTGAGAAAAATCACCCACTTTAAAAAACGTGTTGTTCCACAACTTTATTTCAGTCAAAAAAATTGAGAATGCCTTAGAACAATATAAACTGTAATGCTTTTTATATCTAAAAAATAGCCATAACTGCAACTGTGGCAGACTAATGGTGATGTCCCAATGACAATATCAGAGGAAGCAGAGCCCCTACCACCATTAAAACAAGTTCTATTAATCTAAATCCTTTTTGTTCTCTCACAATGACGCTGCCGTCGGCAGCAGTAGTCCTTGTGGTCATATTTGCAATCTCAGGAAGGACATGCACTGTGGCTACGTAGAGGAATGTCCCAGCACTAAACAACATTGCTAAACCTGTGGCATTCACTGAAGACAGGGCTTCTTTACTTTGCTGCAAAGGTGAAAACATCAATTTACACGTTTTCTTAGGCAAACTGTTAATAAATGTCTTCAGAGTGGTTAAGTTTTGTAAGGTAATTGTTGAATTAAGACAAATGACAATATATGATTAAAGAAATTTATTTAATGGTTTAATTGTGCCCCTTTAAAATGATGCAACCAAAATACTTTTGTGAAAGAGAGATACAAGCACGGAATCTCAAATTGGTTATGCTACCACTTACCCCACTTAATCCAAAGAAAGTAATTAAAGCTAGAACTGGTGCTGCTAATGAGAAAATGAACAAATGTTTTCGTATCCTGGAACGTTCAAATCCTTCATGCAGGAGAAAAGATACCAGACCAAAAGCTGCAGGAGCCTGGAAATACAGTTGTAACTGATTACGAAGTGTATTCTGTATATATATATGATATTACTTCAATTACAGCAATATGTGTGTGCATGCACATGTGTGCGTGTGCATGTATGTATGTATGTATTTTCATATGTATTGCACCCCATTTCAGATAAACAACATTAATTTTATCCTATCCTGGATTTTTATGCAATATATAATTTTCTCCTATTGAGGCTATTCAGGAATCATTAGTCTACTGGCATGAAGTTGCAAGAAGCCAATGCTTTTAAGCAATTAAAATTGGACTCTAAGGCTCAGAAGGAAATAGTGCCATCAGGTACTCTACAGATAAACTTAAAATTTTAGGGGTTTTATCGTGTTAAAGGTTTGGATAGTAAAAGATAAAAACCTTTGCAGAATATGTGCAAAAATATAAACTTTAGGAAAATATAAGATGTGTGCAGGATAGCTATAATTCATCTATGGTGAATTTTATTCAAAGTAGAGATGGGGGGTTGGGCTGTTAAATTTAATACATATGTATGTATGTATGTATGTATGTATGTATGTATGTATGTATGTGAAGTGCACAGATATTTACCTTGTGTAACATAATTGCAATAAATACTATCATTTCAACATGAGTCTGTGATGTGGAGGCTGCAGCACCAAGGGCAATACCATCAGCTAAAATGAAAAACAAACAGCATACACAAAATGCCTATCAATATACTTTAATTTTGAGATCTGCATACAGAGGAAATAAGCCAACCTGACTAAAAACCCATCTCATCAGGCTGACTGCGAGCAGTTTAAAGGGATAATAACTCTTCATATGGGATCTACATTTCACAATAAAAACATTCTGAACAACTCATAGAAATATAATATATTCGGTTTTACCACAAAAATGGCAGTTATAGCTATTATTCTGATATCTGAGCTTGTCTTCAGACCACGTGACCTCCATTGATGGCTATACTCTGTTATAATATCTTAAGAGATTTTAACAAAAAAACAAACTTTTTAGAAAAAAAACCAGGGACTTACTTTGAATGTAAAAATACATTCATTAACCATTGGTAAGCATGGGAAAATTGTTGCTTACTCCAGGAAAATTCATTTTTTGACCAAAACGAAGAGTTATTATCCCTTTAACATAGGATGCCAATGGAAATCACCTGAGCTTAAACGAGGCCTTCACCACTGTCTGATGTTGTACAAGACCAGGAAAAAACATGCATATATCAGCTTACTTTTCAGCAATAAGGGTGAAACTCTATTGCCTGGAGTATTTTCTCAGAAAGCAATTCAAAAGTGTTGCTCAAAACATGGTGAATCTGTGCTGTTGTATGACAGACTTTAATTCTACATAACCTTAAAATAAAACCACCAGAAAAATACCCATGGCACTACATTTATTTGATCCCACTCTCCTGTAAATCTTCAGAAATCCTGATTTTATGCTTATTGAGCATAAAATCAAGATTTTGCAGGATTTACAAGACTATTAATTCGTGAGACTTCTTGGTATCTCATATGGTGGTTGGTAGAAAAGCAGAATGGTTACATTTGCTCATTACAATGAGCTAGTCATGAATACTTAATAAGTAAGCTCCACTCATTTCCAGTATCAGTAAGTGTATGCAAAAATAAAGCCAAACAGCTTTATAATTACTAGAAACAGATTTAGACAATGCAACAATGCTATCAATCTCGCATTATAAATTATAAGGTAAAAGAATTCAACATTAACATTTTGACCAAGTTTAGATTACTAACCTGCAGCATGAACAACTAAACCTAATGTTGCTGTAATTTTCTTCCTGCCATTACTTCCTGAAACTGACTCCAGGTCTGTAAAATATGACAAACAAAATGAAAGATTGCAATTACAATATGTTGGTTAAAATCTTCTCAGCTTTAAATCAGTTCGTTTATAAAATGCAAATGGTACATCAATAGCATAAATGAGTTCTTTGCACCTCCATGCAAGATCACATTTATCTTTTTACTTTATAAAGGTAATGATTGTGCATTATTTATTCTAGGGGAGAATTCTACTGTCTTGGATGTTTGTCAACATCAACTGGATCACTTCAGGTTCACAGGAGAATCAATACTTATTGTGGCCTTACCAGATGAACCACCATGGCTATGTCCACCACTGCCCAACTGGTCCACTAATAACATGAACACAAACCCAAGCACCAGCGCAACACCAATCAAACTATGCATTTCCATTCCATGGCTATGTTCATGCTCTTCTGAATGTGTATGTTCTGCATGCTTGTCTGCTGCGACTTGGGCTACCTCTTGAAGCACATGCCGCACTGCCTGCCCATGTCCTGTGTGAGATTCATGTTTATGGAGTTCACTCTCTGCAAAAGATGGCATTGTTTCAACCACTGTTTTCTTTATCTCTTATTGTTTATAGAATATTCCAATTAGTTTTTTATTATTGAAATTGACACAAAAGCTCAACAAAGCTTATGTTTTGTTGTATTATACACCAATGAAATATACAGCTGACTTGACTTGCAAAATCAAATGCTTTAGCTATTCTGCTGGCTTATGAATTAATCAGTGAAATACATTATATCGATAGCATTTCATAATTATCTTTTTAAAAAATTCAATGCAGTTCTCAATGCCTATAAGATAAAGGTAATGATCCATTTCTTTTATACATGTATATATAATTATATTTATTTATTTATTTTAAATAGAATATTCCATAATAAGAATAATATTTATTTATTTTATTATTTATTCATTTTTTATTAATTAATTAATTTTTTTTGCTGTAATTACCATATAAAGTATGAACTCCCTCTGGAATAATGACAGCTAATGCTGTCCCTACAAGAAGACCAGCTCCTAGAATAGTGACCAACTTCAACTTATCCTGAAATTCAAGAGAATAAAATTATCATGATGTAATATTAATTACATCTCTGGTTGCTTTGAGAATTTACTCATAAAGAGTCTCAAAGTAATGATAAAAGAAACAAATGCACCACGTTAATATTGGTACCTGCCAATGAGCACTCATGATAATAATCATGACAACAACAGAGAACAGAGTTCCACTTACTGGCTTATTTGTATCTATAAGTTTAATTTATGACTTTTGTGCACTTTTATAATAAAATGGGATTTTACATCTTTTTAACACCGAGTTAAGTTTTCAAAACCAGTGCATTTTTAAACAAAGGCAGAGAAATATTGTGAGTTTGTGTTACCAATGGATAAAATACATTATGTTGGCATTAGTACGTCAATACTCACACACCATCACCGGCACTTTTTCACTGTCACAAATATTTAGAATATATGAAACTGGTTTTAAATAAATGTCTAGTGTTCTTTGTATTGACCCATTAGAGCCTGCGTCATCAAAACAAACGGCAGCCATTCTGGAGGGAGACCGGAATCGTCTGCTGCGCATGAACAAGCCATGTCTGTAGTTCAGTTTTCGTTTTCTGTATTTTCTTTGATATTTAACCGAGCAAAATGATGAATTACTGCAGGTTATTTGATCGAGAGAAGATAACTAACTTTACAAGCGTTCACAGGCTGCCTGAAGTGGTAACAATNGGTTTACCTATATTTACGCTACTATTCCCCGTCGTTCATTCCCTCCAGCATGGCCGCGGGACTAGTGTTACGGAGCAAATATGACGTCACTGTAATCGGTTAATTAAATACACATGTAATTGATGAAGGACATACGACAACGCACATTCATTCAGTCGGCGACAATGACACACAGACTAGTCTAGACAGGACGCTGTCTAACGTCAAAACTAAGGTGACTGACTCAGTGGCTGCCAACACAACAACTATATACTACCAATGTACCAGCATACGTGCATGCAGTACAAAATAAGACAGAACATGACAGAAATTATTTAAAGTTCTCACCTCTGACAGGGTAAATGCTAATGGAATGGATCCAGATACATAACAACCTATTAACATTGCAAGCGATAGCAAGATCACTCTCCATGTTTCGTTCATTATTTGTTCACATGAAAATCAAGGGGCACCTGTAATAACCGCATTCAGCATTACCGTCGGTAACAATGTGTCGTGGCCGCTAGATGTCGATAGTTATCTTCCGCTTCAAATAAAACATTGGAATTATTTCAAATTTAAGTAACAGTACAATATGAATTCTGAGTCTTGGAATTAAAAAAATACCACCAAATAAACTCCAACCGAATTATACATCTTAGTGCTTTTAAAATTACCACGTGTTCACGTAAAATCTCTAGCTCGCGATTGCACGCCATTGCTCTGCTGAGTTTAGATTCTTTCGTTTTGTGGTAATATTAATCAGGTGCTGCATTCTATAAAGCGACTATGGTGAGTACATTTTGCAATTGCTGGCGTTAACCAACTGAGGACGAAGAGTGTGAGATATATTTTAATTGTCCACTTTAATTGAATACTATATTGCTTTCAGCTTAAAAAGGAACCACTTTGGCATTGTAATCTGTATTGTCAAATGTTGTCATGCACGGGTCATGCACAGTTTCTCCAGAATGTGGATATTATTATGTAATAATTTATAATATATATAATATAATGTTATGTAAGGCTGAAACCTGAGGCAAACCTTACCTGCACATCAGATGATCTCAGCCTCAGGCTACATCATGATCCTACTCAGCTTATATATTATTTCAGTGTCAGCAAAGATATCTCTGTTCCAGAATGATTCAGACAGAAGTATCCTTGTTTCAGTCCAAGTTTGTGTGCTATCCCATCCTGGAAAGGGAGGGGGGTGCATCATGGTTCTGATAATATTGATTTGTTTTGCCTTTTCAGTCCCACACAATTCTATTGATTCAACCTACAAAGAAACCAGATAGTAGGACATATTCAGATTATGAATCTATCAATGAGTGTCTAGAAGGTAATGTTATTTTTTGTTTTAGTGAAATATTCACTTTTTATAGTAAGAAGTTGTCTTTGAATTTTATGCTCATATGTAAGTCTAGTGAAATTATTGCTTCATTCATAATATGTATTCATATACAGTGGACTTAACATAACTCAGATACTAAGAGGAAAACCTGTACCAGTTAATTTGAGATTTAATTTTGGCAAAATATATGTTGATTTCAGCTATTACCAAAGACAATTAAAATTTTCCAAAAGATTTGTATCAGGTAAAGAAAAAATATGAAAAATGACAAGTTCACTGGAGTTTGTTGCATTTGGTATTTATGAAATTTTTGTCCACATGTTAATATATGTTGATGGATAAACCATATTATTCCAGGCATTTGTAAAATATATGAAGAACATCTTAAGAAAGCCCATCCTCAGAGTCCATCCATTACCTATGACATCAGCCAATTGTTTGATTTCATTGACCAGCTCCATGATCTTAGTTGTTTAGTGTAAGTATCAACTAAACATTTTATCTCGATTAAACAGAGCAGTTGAACTGTAATGGGGTTAGAAATCTGTGTGTTGCAGATCATACACTTTTCAGTGTATCAAAATAGCCATTGAGTACATATGAATTCCTTATAACCAATAAAAGAAAAAAATTATATGATTACTTTACACAAAGACTGACATACATAGATTTCCTTAAATAAAATTTTTTAGCTGTTCAGCAGTTGTTTTGATAAAGAGCGTTTATTTTTTAAATAATTTATTTATTTATTTATTTATTTATTTTTCATACAAAATTAGGTATTCTGCCTTTTTGAGTGACATCCAAGATATTGTCTGCAATTTCAGGTTTCAGAAATCCAGTACAACATATTGCCCCAGAAATAAAGATTGGATCAAAGAAAAGATTTACATCATGCTGCGGAAACAAGCTGGAAAATGAACAAACTCTATAATTTCTGAAGTGTAAACATGAGATATTGTTTAAGTTTCAAGGCAGCAATGAAAAAAGGAAATATTAGGAGGAAGTCCTGCTGGTCTCCTGTCATGCTGGCCCTGTAAACTTGTAAAAAAAAAACTTGTATGAAAATAGTATGTAGCCTTTCTTTTGATAATTTATATCTTATCTCGTAAAGATTCGCATCTTTATTGTAGTCTCATTTGTTTGTCAGCCTTGTGAGATGACCTTTTCTATGAAATTCTGATGCAAGTATTCTCAAGGTAAATAAAGATACTTAACTTTGGAGAATAATCCAAACAGCATTTTTAAATAACTTGAACCAAAGTTGACCTTAAACCAAATCGAAACTGAACTGATTTTTAACTAGGAAACCTCTGGAGTTGACACATAATGGTTGGTTTTATTGTATCAGAACCTTATGCTGCTATAACTGGAACTAGATGAAAGGAACCTGAGGAATTTTCCCTATAGTATTTCTTAGAAAGTAGACTTTGAAAGAATTTATTTTATATAAAGGGGTTGTCTCTCAACAACATTCTGTATGCGATGGTAGTACATAATGTTTTTATTCTTCAGTTTGGGAATCTGCCCACTGTTGGATCTTTTAGAAAGTAGCATCATATAATTGTAATTAATCTTTTTCGTGTTGTGTTGGTATTGTCATGTTAAAGTGAATAAATTAGGAAACTCATCTTTTATTTCAAAGCTGTCATTTAGTGATATTTTAAAGTAAATAAAAAGGCAATTTCATGTGATGCATTTCAGATTTGCCTGCTTCCCCTCCTGTGCAAGGCACACGTATGGTGACTTAATATAAAATGCATTGTACATGCACGTTACAGCCAGGGAGGTTCATATACCTCTTTTGGGGTGAATTTGATTACTCTATATATATATATATATATATATATAT